TATGATGAGTTTGCCCATAAAGGCATATGCGAGGGGCATTTTTTTTTAAATCAGTTAAAAGCAATTAAGTTGATACAATCTCAGCAGCAATAAATAACAACGAAATGAAAGGGGTCGACACTGACGCAACTTAATGGCGTTTACGTCAAAGAATTTAATCAGATGAACTCTTCAGTATTCCGACAATCACGCTTGCACCACCACACTTACACACGTATACAAAGATATACAATTTTTTCCAGCGTAATCTAATAAATGTGCATTTTTTCTCTTGCAGGTTGGACGCGCCACCGCTCTTCAACGGTGCCACCATGGACGCGAAAAAGCTGCAGCAACTGCAGCAAGCGAACGCCCAAAAGAAACTGCCACTCGCATATCAAACGAACCTCGTCGACTATCGCGCTGCCACACATTCACCCGTTTTTCAGCAACACCAGGCGGCTGGCATGAGCGCCTACCATGTCGGCGGCGGTGTTAGCGGCAGTGGCTACCAGCAAAGCCCCACGGCCACCTCCTCGAGTGGTGGTCCACTTACGCCAATCGATATGCAACCGCAACCAAATAAAATGCTGCTCAAGCACTTGGCTGGAAGTGGCGGTAATACCTCGAGCAGCTCACATAGCTCGCCATATCACCAGTCGTCGTACAACAGCGGCGGCGAACAGCTGTATCAGTCGCCAACGGAACGCACCTACCTGACCGCCGCGGGCCGCCTGCAGGCAACTTCATCACTTAATCCTGCCACGGCGCTACAGCAACAATATCAACAGCTACAGCAAGCCAAGCTGCAGGCGCAGATGCAAACACAGAACGAGGCTGTGCAGCAGCAGCAACGCACATTCGCCATGCGACAGGCATTGAACCCGCCAGTGCCGCAAGGACACTTCCACATGAGTCAGTCGTCGAGCGTCATGTCTTCGATGACCACACAGCAGCAGCAGCAGCAGCAACAGAGCGCCGCATCAGCGCATGGCCGCGCGCCACCCTCCACCCTGAATTTAAACAGTCCATTCCAGCCAGCGGGCGGCCCACTTAAGGTGAATCAAAAACAGCAGCCGCAGCATTATCATTCACAGGATCAGCAACAAATCTACGCACAACAACAACAGCAACATCAACATCAACAGCAGCATCAAATACAAATGCAGCTGCAACATCAACAGCAGTTGCAGCAACAGCACGTCCTTCAGCAACAGCATCGTCTGAAGTCCGAACAGCAGACGCCAGGCAACGAACAGAGTCCGGTGTACATACAGCAAAATCATCCTGGTCACGTCGTTAATCAGGCCTGCCAAACACAAATATCTGCAGTAAAGGGCGGCGCTGTGGTTCAAAAGACAACACCTAGTTCGGAGGATTCGTCCGGCAAGAGTCCCTCGCACGCGCCACTGGATCGCAAGAAAAGTATTGGCTCAATGCAGGCTCTTAAGTCACCCATCACCAAGCGTCCGCCTTCCTCGCCCGTTACCCTCTCCGGTTGGCTCTATAAGCAGGGCTCGGATGGGCTGAAGGTGTGGCGCAAACGCTGGTTTGTGCTTGCCGAATATTGTCTCTACTACTACAAGGGTCCCGAGGAGGAGAAGTTGCTCGGCTCCATACTCTTGCCGTCGTACAAAGTGTCCGCCTGCTTACCAGAAGACAAAATCTATCGAAAGTATGCCTTTAAGTGCGAACACCAAAACATGCGTACCTACTGGCTAGCCGCTGAGACGGGCGAGGCGATGGTGCAATGGGTGCGTGCGCTCACCGCCGCCACAACAATGCAGGCTCCCAACAGCGGCGAGTCGGATCAGCCAAGCGGCTCCTCCTCACTCAATCACAGTGGCGAAAATTCCGACTCTGGCATTCATACGCTCCAGTCGCAGCAGAGCAAGATGAGCCTGAATCAGGGTCAGGTGACGCCCGCATCCGAGCACGCCAACGCAAACTCAGCATCGAGCAGCAACAGCGGCGGCGGCGGCGGCGGCGCCAACGGCGGTGGTGGTGGCGCACAACCTCTGTACGCGAACGCGCCACCCAAACCACGACGCATCAATGACGGCGGCTATTCCTCGCCTAGTCCCGAACACTCAATTGACAACGAACGAAAATCACACCATCAACAACAGCAAACTGGACGCCATGGTGGTGTTATGTCGCCAACGCTGCAACAGATGCAACAACAGCAGCAGCACTATCAACAACAGACACGCGTGCCACAGCAGCCACAACAGCATCATGCCATCTACGACACACGCACCGGCAATGTTTCTTCCGCTTTGCGGCTACAACAAGCACAACAACAATACTCCGTAGATCAGTTGGAGGCGCAATTGCAGCAGCAAATGAGCTTGTCCCCAGAAGATTACCCTAAATCACCGCCACCGCCGGCCACACACTCCAATTATATGGATATCGAGGAGCAAATGTTGCGCATGCAACAGCAACAACGAACTGGTGAGGAGATTTATGGCGAACGCGAGCTTTACATGCAGAAGCTGATGCAGCAACGTTATCCGCCGCACTTGACGCTGTATCCGAATGCGGAGCGGCGCACACCGGACGCGTA